AGAGGAAACAGTTTAACTAACGTAACGCGATGGCGCCGTAACTTTTGTTAATGAAAAATTTTCTGCGAGCTTTTCGGGTGTGGGTGTGGGTGTGGGTGTGAGTATGTTGATATTGAAAGAAAGACACCCACACCCACACCCAGTCAAGAGGATAATAGAGGAAAAATTTCAAAAATACAAAGAGAATAATTCTGATGGGTCATCCATGATTTTTTGTCCAAGCATAGAAAAAACATGTTTATAAAGATCAATTATTTTGACAACAAATAATCGATCGAAAAATCTCAAATTAATAGTGCAGATAGAGGATAGGATAATCTATATAACTAATAAAAAAAAATCTTATTCTAGTAGCTTTTATAAATATGTTTCAGTTTTCAGCATTTTGTCCGAAAACTTTTCGACCACCCGTTAATCGAAAAGAAGCTACTAGTTGACTAAGAAAAATGTGACTGGTTTTATTCAAATTAATTTCTATTTGAGGAACACTATCCACCGAATGTGTGAATCGGCTGATGGAATGTTAAAAACATCGAGTGCATAATACCGATATGTACGATGATTCAAGCTAGCAATGGAGTTGTGTTCTCTTTGTTTACTTACATGTTGTTGAATGTTTACTCCTATTCATGCGACCATTTTCATTTCATCATTTTTTTTTCAAAGAAGAAAATGATGAAAGAAAGAACGAGAATGTTTTCAAGTAGCACATTGCACAATGTTTGTGCAATACTGTAACATACTATAAAAAGAGACTTACATTTTCTATTTCTTTGGTTTGTAGTGTAGTGGTATCATACCCGGTTTTCTTCCGGGAGACCTCGGTTCGATTCCGAGCAAATCCACCAAGCTTTCTTCGTAATTTCTCAAACTTTCTAGTTCGAGACAATATGCATCGGCTTTCAGTTCACGTCATACTTTGTAGCAGCTCTACCACCACTTTCTATTTAGAGAGTGCTCTTGAGCTTGTGTGATATGTCTGATTGCCACCAAGTACTGTATGTTTGCTCGTCTCATTCGTTTGAATATTAAATACGAACGACAATTCATGCAGTTGGTGGCATAAATATTCGGACTTTATCGACGATGATCGTTGTAGGATTGCATGCAAACGCTGCCTGCATAATTTTCTTGATGTTATTGTCGTAGTCAAAATAGTGGGGTTCTTCAATTTTCAGCTGTACGTTTCTTAATGTGTACAGTTCCACAATCGAAGACTATTACTTTGCATCAATAAAAAAAAAGTCGCATGCCACCGTATCATTACCATTTAAAATAATTCATAATTTTTATGTTACAAATATGAAGGCTAATGACGATGTGCAAAAGTTATGATGTTAATGATGCTGATTGGAACTTAAATATTAAATAGATATTTTTAAATATCTGCCTCCGATCAACAATAATCATCATCTTTTTAACGGAGAAATCCTCATCATATAAATAATATATAAGATGAGTAACAAAAAGCATTCAATTAATCCTCATTCGTTTGGTTGAATTGAAAGATGATAGCTACAGCCGTAATAACTCGAATGCTAAGAAATTAGTTTAATAAAAATTTGTCTGAATTGATCGTTTCTAATATGAAAATTTATTTAAAAATTTGAATTCTTTTTATGTTAAAAGTTACCAATGAAAATATGTCCATCTATGCAGACATATAATTTATTTAGAAGAAAAACAATATTTTCAATTCTCTAGGTTGATGGATCAAGAGCAATTACATACTGTTTCATTTCAATCAGCACACTGTTTATAGTGAGACATTTACTTTCTCATGAAACTTTGTGCAATTACCAAGTGAATCATCCACACACGTAAAAAAGAAGCTGACATAATGTGCGTAGTTTTTAGTCACTTCTTTTCTCTCAGTCAGAGAAAAGCGATGTGTTGACACAGAAAACGCTTTAATAGTTACTTTCATTTGCACAGAAGAAATGTTGACAAAGGAATGACGCAGTTTTGTTAATAGCAAGTGTAGATTCTCACTAACTCCGAAAAAACAGTCGGCACACATTAACAACTCGAGTAAATAGTGCTGATTAAGTGAGAAGTTGTACTATTGTTTGAATGTTTTTGATGCTATTACAAAAGCAAACTATTGAAAGAATATTCTGCACAGAATAACAAAAACATAAAAGCACCAATGCAATACTCAAACGAAGAAACGATTCCACGACAGATGAAACCAAGCCATGCTTTTACTATTTTCACATATCGCTCGGCCTATTCTTTGACATTAAATAATTCTAGAAATTTATTGAGCTTTACTTATTAAACATTGATTGTATGACTCTGTTATTAGCATAGTTTTTAATGATTTACAAAAATGATATAACATAGAAGTGTTTCTTTTCAAGTAAAATATTCTTATCTGTTATCATAAAGCTCTATGATGATAACGATGATCTAAAATGGATGAGTTGAATGGAAAAAAAAAGAATTGGAGAAACTTCTGCACACTGTTGGCTGTATGCTGGCTTTCTAGTGATCCTATATTTTCTACATTTTCAAGATGAATCCTATAATATCCTCGTTTTCAAGAATATTTCTAATTCTCAATCCTGACAGGAGGAATTCTCAGAACGAAAATTCTTCTATTTGTTCGGTGACTGATTTGTTGAAAAAAAACCAAAATGATTTCGACTTTGAAAAAAACAGCAAGTCGGATATATTTTCAATCACACTAACAACATATCATATTTTATCTCTCCAAAACTCACAAATCCAATCTTTTTGGGAGGAGGGTATGAGACAGGATTCTTGGGTGACACTGGAATCCATTCTCCACCTAGAAGAGGTGAGGACTGGGTTCAGTTCTGCGAGTCTTGACCGTGTGTGGAATGTGGTTGTAAATTGTACATTCAAGCCCACACCCACATCTCACCCACACTCATATTCCCACCCAGATCCCACCGCACCCATACCCACACCCACACCTTCAAACTTGAACATCTATGAGGCCACTCAATCATCGAACTCTGAAGCATCGGTTATAGTTATCCCCTGTCATCCACCTATTGAGAGAAAAACTAAATAAAAAACATGTTTTTTTCGCTCTAAAGTAGGCGTGGGTGTGGGTGGGTGTGGGGTGTGGGTGTGGGTGTGGGTGTGGGTGTGGGTGTGGGTGTGGGTGTGGGTGTGGGTGTGGGTGTTAATCAGGTCTCTATTCATACCCACACCCGCACCCACACCCACGCCGACAAACCCACACCCTAATATTCCAAGTAAAAGCAATCTGGCATTTAAGAGGGCTTAAGTGAAAAGAACTATCTCATGAGAAAAGAAAATCAGAAGTTGCTGCTAATAGTTACAAGTGACATCCTAGAGAGGCGCCGACGAGTGATTAGCTGCTGCACTGAGTTATCTTCAGAAGTGTCGCTTCGAAGTGTTCGGATTCATTGAATAATAGTATATAGCCGAGGTAAAATGGATCTGAACGAGAAATATCAGATACAAAAAGTTGTAAAAACTATGTCAAATAAAGGATGAGAAACTGTTTTTTTTTGTTTGGAGAAAATAACTGAATAGTTCGTCAGAATAAAAGCTTTACTGGAAGAATTTATATTTACTGTAACCGAGCTTCTACTTTCTTAGAGAACTCTATAGTAAACAGCATTATCGATGAATGTTCTAGAATGTATACGAATTTCTCGTAGAATTTCCGAAAAGTACTCTGTGTTTTCGTATAAATTTTGTAAACTTGTATTGCTACACTGTCTTTGAAAAATTGGATATGATGTCTTGTTCAGTTGAGTGCTATGCAAGTCGGAGCGACGAACGTTACTCGTAAACTATTTAACTTATTCATAAATAATCAAGCGAATACCCATCGATTATATCGAGTATTTAATTGATCATTCTCTCTGAAGATAATATAAACTATTCGAAATAATATAATTAGTATCTGTTTAGTATTAAAAACATACATTTATAGAATTACTATTTGATTTCAGTGAGTGTGTGTCTTCATTTCATCTACACAGTCACATCCAACTAACAACTTCACAGTCAGCATAATTTCAAACAATCTCTTTTTTTTTTACTTTTGTGTTCAAATGAACACAGTCGTATTTTTAATATTAAGACAAAATTTTTGTAAAGATAAGCATCGCTGTATCTCATATTAAAACTCGTGAATGAATCAAATATTCCCTTTTTTGAAAGAAAGTGTCTTACATTTGAACTATGTATATAGGTTTGTTTACCTATCCGAACGGATTATATATGACCTTTTCTATTCATCGGACTTTCTACTATTCTGATGAAACTTGGCTATAGGTTGTTGAGGACGAGGAATCCGCAAATAAAGTGAAATTTTGAATTCCAGCTGTGAATGTATGGATAAGTATTACTTCGTCGTTCACAGCAATGTTTTTAGAAAACTTTTTAACACGATGTGGATGATGAGAAGTTCGCCTCAAATATTCACCCAGATTTTATATGACATGCACTGATTATAATACTTCTGAACAATGTCTCCATCAAATGGTCTAGCTGCAATAAATACGATGGAAAAGTGTTTCACTAGAAAATAAGCAACATTATAACAAGGGAGCTACCTAAATGACCATCATTTTGAGAATTCAAATGGCTCATTATGTCTTTAATGAAACTCTTGTACTTGGAAAGTCAGAAACTATCATCTGGAACGCCTGCTGGACATTCTAGAAAGGCACAATATTTTTTTGAATGATGATATTATTCGTGTTTATTGCTTATAATAATTAGAGTTCCAAAGTCAGTTATATAGAGCCCTCAGTTTTCGATTTTTTTCGAATAACCCTCAAATTTCATGAGAACACATTCGAAAGGGTGAATGTAGGTGTGTCTATTAATGTGAATCTTCTCTCAACCTACGCCCTCATACCACTTCACACCCACACCCTGAAATGAGATACATAGTTGATCGTGTTAGAATGCTAGTTTATATATTTCATTTTAAATATTTTTAAATTTTCGGGTACAAACGGCAGAGAGCATAAGTAAAGGCTCAATCAAGCTTCTTTGATAAGTATACCATAAGGTCGAATATCTTGAGGCTGAGGTGCGACCCATATATCATCGCTGGGACACTGAACACTCGCAGGATTCACTGCAACTTGAAACATGCACTTAAACTTTTTCTTTCCTTTTTCAGTATCTAACTCAACAGCTCCAACAAATACAGAATCTCCGAGCCAGACAGGATTCGGAGAACAGTAAACACCTGGGCCATAAACAGCGACTCTTGCTGGACGAAAGCCTTGTTTAAAAATGCTTGCGAGAGCATTAATGGGTGCAGCAGTTTGGTCGAAATCTGCATTCGAGTTACCAAAGTCGACTTTTGTTGCACGTCCTGTACCATGAAAGGCTCTATACCAATTACCAGGATGTTGAAATGGATGTAACCATTCATCATTTTTATATTCACTTTTACCTAGCACCTTTAGACCATACCTAGTCCAACCAGAGGGTGACGTATATTTTTTGGTACGTCCAGGCGGGCCAACTTCATGAGTATCTGGTCCACTGCTAAATGTTTTATCACCGCGTGCATCAAAATAGGCTATATCAAATGATGGACGAAATAATAATGGATGAATTTTCGCACGCAGGAATTGGGGAAACTGCTTCTTCAGTTGTTGCGAAATTTTGAACAGCTTTTTAATTACAGACTTTGCCAAATCCTTTACAGTATAAGCTATATTGAATGATCCAACGAAGACAGCTTTTATAACAATAGAATTTTTATCAACTTCATGTGCTTTCGCTAACCGATCGCGTATGTCTTCGATGATTGGGTGGTTTCTCTTTTGCTCAATACAATGTGTTAAGGTTTCAGCCAGGTTCATGTCATCATTGAACGTTTTCTTACTATTGTCACCTCCTAATCCTTCACTACTCTTTAATTCCAAGACGAATGGTCTATCTTCAGAGTCAATATCAGCTAAGTTTCCAGATGCATCATGAAGATTAATACCATTTGCGGAATCAAAAAATAAACATTGCTGATCTTCATCACCCAATAATTTATTAAGTATATGACATGCAGTATTTTTGTCAGTCACATTTCCTGATGATTTTTTATTTAGTATTGATTTGGTGAGCTCCTCAGCTTTTTTCACGTCTGGATTAGTTGTATTAGTGAGATCATCGATATTCGGAAAACTATCATAATATCTTTTCAATACTGCTTGGTTTTCTGGCAGTACATGAGGGGTTGCATCGACGACATCTTCA